TTTAATAATTTTTAAAAATTCTTATAAAATTTAAGTATGTGATCAAATAAAAAATTATAATCTTTTTAAATTATTATTTTAATATAACATAATTAAACTTTTACCTGTAACTATACTTATCTCATTTGCCCATGACATATTTGCTAGGCTATTATATAATTTATCTAGAGTAAATTTTTATTTAGTTACGGTAGAATTATATTTGTTTGTATAAAATAATTGATAATAGCAAATACAATTACATTAAGAGAGAGAGAGAGAGATATTGGTGGATATAAATCTGCTTGGAATGACAGATCTTATTTTATGATATGGTGCGGGACATGGATGTCCATTTTTCATTAAAAAAAAATATATTTCTTGTTATTTGGATATAATGCGGGTTGAAACTAGAAAAATTAACTGAAAGTGCCATTATAAAAACTATAAAGTTGGAGTGTAAATATTTTATTTTTGAAGGGACTAAATGCATAACTATTGTGAAAAAATAAAAAAAATTAAATACTAAAATGAATTTTGTTTAAAACTTTGGGGGTGCCAAGCTACCCCAAAGCTTGCCATAGGCCACCCCTGGATACAATATTACTGAATAAAATTTAATTACCTGATTAGCACAATCACTCTTGTTAATCAAAACTGCATGCCATCCAAATCATGACATTTGCTTTTATTTATAGCCTGGTTCCAGTGATGATCAATTATTTCTGTATATGTGAGTGTGCATACATAGCACGTGACTCGGTCCCAGCCCAGGATTTCCCTAATTTGTCCACTGGGATTTGCTACAAATATGGTCTCTTTTAAGAAACATGTCTAAACATCGAGTTGATGAGCAGCAGTGCAGTGATGGAGGTAAAATTTGTCTGCAGATAGCTGCAAGAAAATCGGAAAAATCCAGATAAGCTTAGGGCCTGGCTTCCGCTTGGTAGCAGAAAATTCTGGGCAGTATTTCCTGCTTGGAGGTTATGGGACTAAATCATCAGGTTGCCAAGGTAGCAATGTATTGGATACCATGTCTTATCCTCAGTTTTTCTCAATTCTTAACTCAAATTCATTAAACCTGATCCAGCTCTTGATCTAGCCTCATGTTGAAGTCTGGATTAATCAATGTAAATTAAAATAAAGTTGTTTTGAAGTTTTTTTTATAAAGTTAAATGGGAAGGGGTTGGGGTGGTTAAGTTCCGAGTCAACCTTCTACCTGGGTTAAGTTTAATAGTTGTATATATGAAAAAACAAATAGAAATGAAAAAAAAAGGAGAGAGAGAAGCTTTTGGACTCGGAATTTGTTTCCGGGCAAGTGCTACTGCATATATTGCTTTCATTTTTAGGGCAATGTTCTCGTCCCAGATCTCTAAAAATCTAGGCGCTTGGCAGCCCAAGATTCCAGAGCAGCTGTGAGCTTTAGTCATCTCAACAAAGGCAGAGATGATGTGATGCCAAAATGTTCCCAAAATATTCTCGTACCTTCTTATTAAGCAGACTTACCTTTTTTCTTCTATTTGAGATTAACCTTATCAAGCAAGAAGCCGCTCACATCGGTATTTTTTTTAATTAAACTTTTGCCGCCCCGGCGGGGCATTGATTTGGACTTCTGCTTTCTAAACTACATGTGTAGGGATAATTAATTAAAAGAGCACAATGCTTTATGCTACTACAGGGACCTAAATTAGCTTTATTTGATTTTCAGTTTCAACTAAACTTTAGTTGATTGAAATGATTAAGCATGATTCCTGCTGTCGACGTATATATATATATAAACACACACAAGTAGTCAAAATAAAGCACTGAAAAACCTTATCTTGCAGAAAGGTAAAAAAGGCTTTGACAGATGAAGGAGGGAACAAGCATCAAGTTCCTAGAGCTGGTATTAATTGCATAAATATTTCACATCATAGAAAATCCAAGACTTGACATTAAAAACTTTTCCTGACCATCTCTAAGTTTAAAAAACGCTGAATATTTCCATGGTATCAGGTAAAATTCTCTTGAGTTAGTCTTTTAGAATATACTTTGTTAAGAGCAATTTGTTTTTTCCCATCCTAAGCATAACATATATATATTACAATAAGCCGCCCAACTTTTACCCATGCACATTTTTAGTGACTCGAGATGAAAAAAGTGGAATCAAGTTCTTGTCAAACCCACCTTAATTATACAGGCATATATGCCCTAATGAGAGCATGTATACCCTCAGACAATACATGGAATAGAGAGATTTCCAATCAAAATCTCGCTTCCTACTATTCTAGTACTTGTCTGTAATTGTTACTTGCATGGCATGGCAAGTTCATCTAGTAATGTGGCACCGACAGTCCACTGCAAGCTAGGATAAGCTAGCCATCATTCTAGCTGGAATCGAAACCTTCGAAATTAAGAAGCTTCCAACACGTAAAAGGGCAACTTCGAGACTCTATACCTACGAAGATGTCCCTTAACCAATCAACTTATTGTCTGGAATTTAACTCATCATGCATTATTTCACTCACTCACTGACATATTAAAGTTTCGTTCTTCCAAAATAAAATGTCTTTTTTATTATTTGATGATAGAAAATATTTTCAAATTAGTTTATCAATTAATCAAAAAAATAAAAACATGTTGTAGCCTGCTTCAACAAAGTTCACCAATGCAAATGGTTGGGCATGGATGGAGATAGTTTTTTTTTTCCTTCTTATTGGGTAAAAAAGGATGGATTTTCGTAGCACGCTCGAGAACACCAGCTGCAAAATATAACTTGTGAAAATCACTAAAGTATGGTATGTCCAGCCCTTTCATTTTTTTATTTTTATAATAAAAGCTCACTTTTTTTATTTGTTTCTTGTCTTCTTGAAATATAATAGAAAAATTACATGTTTTTGTAAAAACATTCGAAAAATAATTCCAGTAGTGAATGTATAAAAAAATAGCAATTTTTTTATTTTTTTCTAATTATTATTAATTTATTTAAACTGAGACTAAAAAAAATGTGATATATGTCGCTCCGTGCCTGTAAAAATCAAAATAAGATTAAGTTAGCCATGAAAAAAGGGACTTTTACTGCCTAACAAAAGTAATTATCCAAAATAAAACCACAAGATGTCTTTATAAAAAAAAAAAAAAAAAAAAAAAGCGAGACGATATGAGCCTCTTCTCTTATCAAGCCATTGTCGCACGGGATTCTACGGTTTGGACCACCTGAGACAGAATTACCTCTGTAAAAAAGATCACATGTAAAGCTGAAGCCCAAACAAAACGCATTGGTCTCTTTAGAAATTAGGTTGATTTGTAGAATCCAGCCCAGCTAATTTTTCTCAGGTGTTTTAGCGGTCTTTTAAGAGAAGCCCACAAAATCACCCTTTTTTTGGCAAGTGTCAGGGGAGGGAGGAAGAGAGAGAGAGAGAACCAGGTTAAAGCGTTGAACTCAACTGCTCAAGCGCACCGCAAGCTACTCTTTCTAGTCTTTTTTAACACACCCACGGCGGCTCTGTATTTCTCCGGTCAGGCTCCTCCGCTTCTTGGTTTTAGACAAGCTTGACACTTTTCTGGGCAACATTTTTAATACTTCGTGACACAAGCTAAGAACTCCTCTTGGTGCAGCCATCTTCAGCTTGCTGCCACATCCTTGCCTATAACAGGATGGTGTAATGATACCTAAAAATTTTTTTGATTAATTTTTTTTTTTTTAAAAAAGATGATAACCGGATGATGACATGATTTTAAGCCCGTCATGCTTGAATTGTCAGGATCAATGAATTAACTCGGGTATTTGACATGGCTAAATCTTTCTTTTTATTTTTTCTTTGATTTGATTTTAGACTGCTCTATGTTCTGATTGTCAGAGTCCCGGATGAACTCGCTTTGCCGGTTCAGTTTTTAAACAATGTCTCCATCGACCCAATTCTTTCCAAATTGAATTGATGCCACTTCTTTCCATCTGCAAATGAATAGTTAACATGATGTGGGAAAAAAATAGTGCTTGTTGAGATGCATAGCAGAACAGGACATCAAATAGCGAATGTCTCAATAATGGATAATACATTATACATCACCTACCTAGCAGAGAAGTCCTGAGTGGTGCCCTAGGAGTGATCTGGTCATGCGCAGATCTTTATTTTCTTCTAGTGCCGCACAACATTTCTCTGGCCAAGAGTCCATTAAATAACGAAGAAAACTAGTACTAATCTACAAGTGCATCCGCCTCTCAAATAGACAAAATCATTTGAAAGGCACGGCTGAAAAGAAAAACTAGACAGAGAATTCATATATTTACTGGGAAATGATAGCATAGCATGAAATTCAGGGGGGAATAACTTGATTTTTTAAAGTTGCATTATTGCATTGCAAATACAATTTTTTAAAGGAATTCATCAAGCCAAATGTCACATAGTTATAGTACTCGGGGCAGGTATTATCGGCTTGAAATTTGTTTCCCGAGTTAATTAAGTTTAACATGCGGGTTAGATGAATTAATTTAATTTTTATTGATTAAATTACGTTGTTTTATTTTTAAAATAAAAAACCTTTTATTTTTTTATATAAATTCAAAATGATAGTGATTTGATAAAAAATTAATTTAAAATAAAACTCAATCAAACTCCGAGTTAAATAATAACTAAATTAATCTACTAGATCTAGTGGGGTACTTTTATAATTATTAAAGGCAAGTCATGCATCTAATTCTCCATTTTTCTTGAAAATGTAAAGGCCACGCAATAACATCTTTTCCGTTGAAACAAATGGAAGTGAGGGTTGATGTCGGCAATTAAATTTGACTTTCATAGTGTCTTTGTCCCGTATTGTGGACTCCCCCCATGGAAGTCACCTCCTGTCACTTGATATTTTTTTTCTCGTTTTTTGGATAAGGGTAATGATTTTTCTGCTTACAAAAAAATAAAATAAAATAAAAATATTCCAAAGGATCCAACGACGACGTCGTATTCTCGGCTCTCTCCAAGCTATCGAATGACCGCCATAAATAGATAAAGAAAAAACCCGTACCAGTCGTTACGAGGATAGAAAGCCAGCCGGAGCGAGCGAGAGAGTGATGCCATAAATATAATAATGACAATAGAACCAAAAAAAAAAAAAAGACATCCTAAGTACCTTAACATTTTTCTCATTTTAAAGTCTTTTTTTTTTTTTTTGTAAGTTTTCTCATTTTAAAGTCTCCGACGAACAAATATTGTCTTTTACTTTCTCTTTACTAAGACTGTCTGATTCTGATCTCTACCAGATAACGAATCTTGATGCGCTGCAGAAAATCTCAACCATCATTGACAAAATCACACACACCTACCAGAGATCCAACTCTCACAGCTTCAATAAACCCACCAAGGATCCGTATCCGTACAAAATATGGCGCGAAAGTGATTAGTGAAGGAGCTGGAACTGTTCAAAATGGGAGAACTTGTTAGTGATGTTTGAGGGTCAATTTGGAAAGAAATTTGCTTTGTTTCTGCAGAGATTGAGTTGCTTTTGAGGGAGAATTTGAGCTTTGAGATTTTTTTAATGTGAGCTCTGATGTGGCTTAGCGAATAGTGAATTTTTTCTCTCTTCTTTTTCGGACAAGGAAGATCATACAAGTCCAATAAAGGTAGGTCCTTTTTTTATGTTTTTTTAAATGTTCCCTTTTTGTAACTTTTGAATTATTCAAGTTTAGACTTTTATCTCATGATTTTTCTGATAGTGTTATCGGCAAAGTAAAAATTTAATTGCTCAATCGCTTTTGCGTTTCTAGATAGAGAGTTAGAAACCCATCTTTCTTTGCTGGTGCTTTTGGACCGAAATGATAAGAAGTTGATTTTTTTTTTGGGTGCATTGAATGCTTAGCTTTGTAATTGATCTTTACCTGATATTGTGGTTATGCTAAGTGCCTTTATTTTGTTGATGAAGGCAGCCTCAATACTCACAAGTTGGGTTAAAATATAATGGCCCATTTTTGGCCTTTGGAGGAATCCCTGTAGTTGAGAATGTTTTTAGTGTTTTTTGAGCGACTCTGCTTCAATTGAATGAATGTATTGCAGGGAATGGCAACACCAGTTGAGCCACCAAATGGGGTTAGGAATCAGGGGAAGCATTACTATTCAATGTGGCAAACTTTGTTTGAGATCGATACAAAGTATGTGCCGATCAAGCCTATAGGTCGAGGGGCTTATGGTATTGTGTGCTCTTCTGTGAATAGAGAAACTAACGAGAAAGTTGCCATTAAAAAGATACACAATGCTTTCGAAAACCGTGTTGATGCGCTGAGAACTTTAAGGGAATTGAAGCTTCTTCGGCATCTTCTACATGAGAATGTGATTGGTTTGAAAGATGTGATGATGCCCATACAAAGGAGAAGCTTTAAGGATGTTTATTTGGTTTATGAACTCATGGATACAGATCTGCATCAAATTATCAAGTCTTCTCAAGCACTTACTAATGAGCACTGCCAATACTTCCTATTCCAGGTATACAAGTACTGTCTAGTAGTGGAACAGGTTTTTCTTGTAGTTTAGGTTAGAGTTTGAAAAGAAAAAAAAAGGGGGGGTTGATAAATGCTTTACAGTCTATTATCATATGTTTGTGGTATTGCAAATCACTTGATGAATTTTTTTCTAAAAAGCTTGAGTTACCTAGATTTGGGTAAAATTTGCATGCGATTATTTAACAGCTGCAGCAAATGTGGAGTTTTAAGAATTTTCTTTTATGGCCTCTCTCTTCATTATGCCTTGGCTTTGGCCTGTGGAAATTATCTCTGGTCAGATGTAAGCTTTGTATTTTACAACTGGGAAAGGGTATTGGTATGCTTCAATGCATGTTGTTCTTGGTTTAATATCTATCTGTCAACATCATAATTATCCTGCTTAGGTTATGGTTTTGCTTATGGAAGTAACAATTGACTCAGTGGTTAGAGCGTACTGGGTAACATTTCTTGAGTAGATGTTCTATGTGCTATGTTTCCTTATTGCCCTTGTGATATTTAACTTAAATGAAGATTTGAATGCTATCCATAGTGCCAGTTTTAATTTTTAAGATATCAATCTTCAAATTTTCTTGGCTGAATACTTTAATCCTGTACAATTGATCATTATTTTCAGTAGGCTTGCACTTTTAGTGCCTAGGTTCAAACGTTCAGGACCATAGGAGGTCCTACAAAATCGTTTCATGTTTCTCATGGTATTGTTATTTTGTTATATTTGGAGAAATCATTATTTTGTCTTGATAAATTTAAGAGGTGACCGCTTGTGTAGTTAGTCCTGTTCCTGCAGTGATGTCTGGCGGTAGAGTCAAGGAATTTCATTTCATGCTGCAAAAATGTGGAATGTTTAAACATTAGCATTTCACTTTGTGTTTCGCCTTCAAAAGGTTTTTTCTACTTCTGGCTTGAATCGCACGCTTTTATATTATTAGTTTTTTACTGTTTAAATAATTCCCTATCCTTGAGGCTTTCGATTTTCATGTCACTGTGACATATTTTGCGGCATTCAAATGGCTTGTTTTCTAGGGTCTTTTAGTCTTTATGATTCTCACTTCTCTATGCAGTTGCTTCGTGGTCTGAAATATCTTCACTCAGCAAATATTCTGCATCGTGACTTAAAGCCTGGGAACCTTCTCATTAATGCAAACTGTGAGCTAAAGATCTGTGATTTTGGGCTGGCACGTACTAGCAATGGCAAGAACCAATTCATGACTGAGTATGTTGTCACTCGATGGTATCGAGCTCCAGAGCTCCTTCTCAGCTGTGATAACTATGGGACATCAATTGATGTCTGGTCTGTAGGATGCATCTTTGCAGAGCTTCTTGGTCGGAAGCCTATCTTTCCTGGCACAGAATGTCTCAATCAACTTAAACTTATCATCAGCATCCTTGGAAGTCAGAGGGAGGAGGATCTTGAATTTATTGATAACCTGAAGGCAAAGAAATATATCAAGTCACTTCCTTATTCTCCCGGGTCTCCCCTTTCCCACCTTTATCCTAATGCACATCCTTTGGCAATTGATCTGCTACAAAAAATGCTTGTTTTTGACCCATCAAAAAGGATTACTGTTACCGGAGCACTGGAACACCCTTACATGTCTCTGCTATATGATCCCAGTAGCAACCCTCCAGCACAGGTCCCCATTGATCTTGACATAGATGAGGAATTAGGGGAAGAGATGATACGAGAGATGATGTGGAAGGAGATGCTTCATTACCATCCTGAAGCCGTGGCAGTCCATGGCGAGGTGCGCTCCTAATCTTGTCTGTTAATTCTGCAGGCCTAAGAGGGTTATTTTTCTTAAACCGAGTTTTTGGTTTGTTGTACTAGCTCGTACTAGCTCTTTTGTTTATGTTCTGTTTCCCTTGTTTCAATAATCTTGAAGAAGCACGCACAAGCCAGCCCCGCTGCCCTGGCATGAGATGACTAATTTTGTTTTAAGAACGTGCTTATGAGCATGAGCTCTGAAAGGTAGGTGGCTCTTTCAGCTTGTATATACGTGTCTTTGTACGATTCTGGAAAAACTTCATTTGTAAATTTAGTAACTGAAGGTAATTGTGACCTGGTTTCACGGGTGAGAAATCTCACTGCTAGTGCTGGGCAGTGAACAACTAGTTCTAGCTCGCTATTTATCCATGTAATAAGCAAACATGCACGAGTAATAGCACCTCTTAACATCCTTTTCCTCCTGTCTGCATATTTACTTTTTGTACTACTTTTTTTTCAGTTATTGGCTTGAATTTTTATCTCTTTTATCGGTGCTTTCTTAGTGGAGGTCTCCTTTTGAGTCCCATTTTTATCAATGAAAGAAACCTCAAAAAAAGGGCAAAAGGTGTGCTCGAATTGAAGGTGGTGAGCAGGGGGTTCCATGAACCTTGTTTCAGGCCAGCTGGATGATTTAAGGCCCAAGTCTTGAACCTATTATTAGGCTTCTGTTGTTAATCAGGCGGGTGGGAGTCGGACCTTTTCTTCCTCTCCTGTGGATCAAAGCCTCAAAGGTTCGATTTTTCAGGCCTGTTTTTTCGGAGAAGTTAGCCTCTGTATTCCCGCTGCGATTCGGCTATAAGGGTCTTTTACGCAGATTATAGATGTCATAAACACTTGCAATAGAACACCTTTGAAATGTATATAGCTTTAGTCATGTGAATTTTAAGACTGGCTTCAGTCCTACATGTTATTGGGGCATAAATTGAACATGTTAATCCTAATGATCCTGTTTTAGGTTTTTTTTTAATAAAACAAATCATGTTTCGAACACCCGGTGAACTTTTAATTGATTTAAAAAAAAAAAATTGGTCCGGTTCAGGAGTAGGACTGGTTGGATACTAAAGGACAATTTGCCGGCCAGCCAGGTTTAATTACTGTGACTGGATTTTGTGGTTTCCAAATCAATGCATATATAAAACCGCCTTTCATTTTAATACCTTTAAATTGGCATCACCAGCACTTTTATTCACCTGCCTGGCACTAGTTTTGCTAAATGCCAGATTCACCAGCTGGGTACCTTTCAAGCTTCAACCATCCACCAAACCGTCTTTTTGAGAGGGGCCATCCTTGTCGACCACTTAAATGAAAAGTCATCTGAGACGCTGAAGAGATTTGGGGCGTGCCATGCCACAGTAAATAAACGCAATCATTCATCTGTTGATCGGTTCACGGTGCTACACGCATCACTAATTATCATATATTTTTATTTTTTATCAAAAAAGTTTTATATACATGTTTTTTAATGTGTTTTTGTAGTTCAAATAAATTTTTTATGTATATATATAATTAAATAAATCAAGAATTATATATATAAATAAATAAAAAGTCATTAACAATACCTAAAAATAAACCTTGAAAAATTAAAAAATAAATATAAATTAAAATATTTAATCTTAAAAGATGAGATATTTATCCAATTGTGTTTGCTATATTAAAATATATATTTTATTCAACCAAACGATAATAGAATTAGAAAGATAAATTAAATTGATTAAATAAAATAAAATAAAATAAAATCATTCAAGAATGCATGTATTAGAAATATTATATGAAAATAAGGATATTTTTATTTTCAAAAATAAAGTTCATCTGAAAAAATAAAAAAATTTATAGATAAATCATAAAAACTCTTCAAATCTAAATATATAATTGAAAAAATAATTATCATTTTCTTTAAATAAAATGAAAGAAAGAGTGTATACTAAATTTAAATATAAAATAAAAGAATTTAGAGAAAAAAACCATAAATTAAAAAAGAAAAAAAAAAAGAAGAAGCAAATGTTAGGTTCTACGTGGCGGATAACCTACCCAGCTCATTACTTTTTTTTTTTGTTTGTAACTAGAGTGGATAATGTTTTTGAAGGAAAAGAATCAGATGAGATATCGTGTGATTTGTATATATTTTTGCTATGATGATCGCCTCAAAATTAGAATTTAAATTTTTTTATTTAAAAATCCATTTTTAATTCAAAATATCTATAAAAATTATAAAAAAAACATAAGAACTATAATAAATTTGTGCATGACTTCAATAAAACTAAAAAACAGTCTAAAAAATCAAAAACAACTTGAAATCAAAAATCAGTTTGAGCTTAGATATTTTTTTTCTATAAACTTTAAAGGTAAAACAATGCTAATATGAATTTTTTTCATCAAATAAAATTATTTTATACAAATATCGCATGTTTTAGTAATCTAAATTAGAGTTAAGAATATTTTTTTTTCTATTATCATAATATAACAACTTATCTCTTTTATTTTTCAACCATAAACTAAAAAAATAATAAAAATAAATTTTTATATTAAAAAAACCCACATAATTTAGAGTTATACTTGATTATTGTACTGCCATGCTGTTAGCTTTGTGTAATATTTAACACGCTATATTTATTCAAATGGTATATAAAAGTTATAGGTGCCGTGTGATCACCTTCAGCACCGAGCCACCGATTCTTGACTGTTATACTCCCTGGTCACTCCAGTACCAATTTAAATGAACAGGGCTCGTACCAATTTAAATGCTAACTGCGGTAGCTTTTAATTGTTGTTTTAGAATACAAGAGGAATGGAGTATTTCTTGCTGCACAGAAATTTATTCAAAAATATTAAAATAATAAATTTATTTTATATTTATAGTTATATTTTTTTAATTTAATATATTTCTATCTTTTATGCATTTATTTCATCTTTTACCGTATATTATCCCAATGCAACCTATAACATGGTTCTTTAAAATTTTGTCAAGAAATTAATCTTATATGCCGTGGGGATTTTCGAACGAATAACAACGGCATCTGTTGCAATCTCATCTCACTTTTTGGTCATTTATTATGTGTTTGAACTTGAGTTATTTATTATAAAGTTTCGTGTTGTTAGTTTTTTATCTTTTTAATTATTAGTATTCGAGCTATGCACTTTAAATAATTTTTTAAGATTTTTAAATTAATAATTATATAAATTTTTAATAATTCTAAGATTTATAATACTTGATTTTTTTTAAAAAAAAAGCTTGGATGTGGCTGGTTGTTAGTTTTATTGGAGAATGGATAGTTATATAATTTCAAATTGTGAGTTTTTTATAAATTACATTGGAGCTTTTCCCTCAAGCTAGTTAAAATATATTTTTTATTAGAATGAAGGCAAAGTCCTGAAAGGAAGAGAGTACTAGGTTTGATTAGAAAGAACAGAGATAATAAAGTTTAAATTGCTGACCATATAGTCATTAGAGCTATAATATTATGTTAAAAAATCCTTTTAACTAAAAAAAACTTGTTAAAGTAAAACCAAGTAAATAGTTTATAGTATTATACAACACAATGTGAATGCAAATAATCGATAGATTGGGCAGAAAGAGATAAGCTTCTTGGATCACCGAAAAACAAACGCATATATATATATATATATATAGTGGGTCCGTACGTTCAAGTTTGTGGGATTCTTTGTCAGCTTCCGAAGCCTTTTCGGCTACCGTACATACAAATGTATAATTTTAATTTTACAGTAGACAATCACGCATGGTTTGCGAGATAGAGCAGCCAATTTTGGATTACCTTTGTTAAAGCTTTAAAGATTTGATTGATAGATTGCCATTACAGTGGAAAATGCATGAATCTTGAGTCATCGTTGAATTATTTCCTTCTTGTCTTCCACTGAAACTGTTTAAATGCTTGGAATGTGATTATTCTTGACAATAGTTTAAATTTAAATCCGATTCTCCTTCTTTTTTTTTTAATTTAAGCACGGGAGAGATACTACAAACTGAAATCAAATCATGATCTTGAATAAAATAACCAAACAGATAGAATTTGAAAACGTTGTTATCTTTTTTCTTTTTTAGAAATTGTATTTCAAATTCAAAATCCCGATGGAGGTTCCTTCACACCAAAATTAGGGTTTTAAAGTAATTTGACACAAAAATCTATAGGTTTCTTTTTCCTTGTATTTATGTATTCTGTAAGAAATTTTAATTGAAACAGTTGAGCAAATTTTTTTTTAAGTAGCATCATAGAATATGGCTTTGGTCGGGGGCTTGTTGGTTGGTGTATCCATTTTGGGAGAGAACAATTTAAATTGGATATGTCCAATTGGAGAAGACAGGTTAAAATACCATCTTCTTGCTTTAAGATGTTTGCTTAAAATTATATTTTATATAAATAAAAAATATTAAATTAATATTTTTTTATGTAATTAAACAGAGCTGACATATATCAAGTCTTAATTTAAATTGAATATTTACACACATATATCAAGTTTATGTAATTATATTTATGAGTAGGAGACAATTATATGAAATGGGTTCCATCTAAACCGAGATTCTCCGATTAGTTTAAGGAGAGAATGTTCCAAATTAATTATTCTCTTTAAAGTTTAGAGCTTGCGTGAATAGGCAGGATTAATTAAGTTTAAGCAATGACGTGGCCAATGGATAGCTTGTATATACAATAATATAAATAATCGCACCTCTCTTACAAATAAAAAATTATTAAAATTCAATAATATATACAATAATATAAATAATCGCACCTCTCTTACAAATAAAAAATTATTAAAATTCAATAATATATACAATAATATAAATAATCGCACCTCTCTTACAAATAAAAAATTATTAAAATTCAATCCCCAGGCTATAGAGCTAGCTAGATGCTTGGGCTAGCTAGAGCTTGATTACATATACATACATATATGGCGATTACTATCATCTTTAATTAACTTTAAATTTTATGCTGTTTCGCAAAATTATCCTCTCTTATGGGTGCTACATAAAATCGACCTAAAAAAATGGGTATTTAGTTTCTTCGATAAATGAAGATAGGGATAGGGTACAAGAGCACTTGTCTTGTAAAAAACCTGTACTCAATTATATTTGCGTGTGTCGTTTTCTATCTTTAGTCTTAAATATTTCTTTAATGATTGATCTTTTAAAATAAATTTATATTTTGATTATTTATATTTAAAAGTTATGGAAAATTTTAATATTTATATGTACTTAAAATAGTAACGGTGAACATAAAAAAATGTAATTTTTATTTATTGATAGAGACTCGTCGAGCCCATCGCACACCTGATGAGTAATTTTTTTTCCTCCCAACCTGATGAACGCAATTAATATGTGGGTGTGGAGGAGGTATAGATAGCTAGCGTGTTTAAATACGTTTCATTGTCATCCCCACCAACCAGGAGCTTTTCTCGCTAAAATCTATAATGTAC